ATTACAAGAGACACATGAACTACTAAGCTGATGGAGGTAGCAACGGAGAAGCGTCAATGGGCCAGCAAGTTAAGGACACGACGCGAGAGAGAGAGAGCGAGGAAAGTAACCAGCAAGATTGGACCTGATCATTATCTCAACTGTATCATACCTCGAGCAAATGGACTGTCAATAACGTGTGGGTTCCAGGTTCTTTGTCTGTATCTTTGCGCACCTGATGGAAGAGAATCTGAAGACGGTAAAGGAAGAAGGAAGGAGAAAGAGGCTATAATAAAGGGAACTACACAAATATGGGAGCCTTGTTTGACACTCTGCAGTGAGGAGAGATCTAAGGCTTTGCTTGGATGCTCTCTGTCCCTACCCTGCCATACATTGCTCGTCCCCTGCCATACATTACTCATCTCCTGCACTTTCTTGCCCGTTCCCAGACTGCTTTTCTCATCCCCTGCCCTGTTCTACCAGTCCCCTGACTTGCCCGTCCCCTGCCCACCCGGAGGTTCTTGCTATAACAATACATAGCCAACAATGGACTGCTTATTGAGACGCTGCTGGCTTATATAGCCACTGAGTCCGGTAACTTTTCCCGGTTTTAAGGAAAACTGAGAGTTCAGTGAGTGTTAGCACAACTTGGATGAAGTGCTACATGCTTCAAATAAGTGTTAGCGAGACCCAGAAGGAAAAAAAATGCAATTTACACCCAGACGAAACTGTATTTAACATAATTAAGTAGTTTGCTTGTAAGTTCTGCTCTTGATGAGTCTTCGTTGTTTTGTATGGCGTTATCCGATCCTGACCTAGTAACCGAACTAACAGACCTGTTGATAGGGCTGAAAGTCATAACGAAGGGGGTTACAGGGGTTAACAAGCTCGTTTACTAACCTAACTAGCTTACTGACAGCGATATACAGCCAGAAAGAAAGCTAGAAAGCTTTTGTTATAATCATTTCTTTTGTCTCCCAGAGCATCAGTGATCAGTCAGTGAAATGTGATTCTTTAGTTGTAATTCTTACAGAAGTAAATAAAACTTGAAATTGCCAATTTCTTCCGGCTTGCCTGCTAGCGTTAAAACTTCTAAACTTTATACTTTGAGATCATAAGTTTTGGGAAGGAAAGAGAGTAAAGCAATTCACATGACATAAACGGTGATAGGTAGATTGTAGTCTAGGCTTCAGTAGATAAATAATCTTTCATTTATGACGCGATGGGTTAATGTTTTCTCTCTCTCTGACCCTCTCTCTCTCTCTCTCTCTCTCTCTCTCTCTCTCTCTCTCTCTCTCTCTCTCTCTCTCTCTCTCTCTCTTTACAGGTTAAGGATTCCTAACTTTATTGACAAGCTAAGAGCTGTTACCTACATCAGCTCATTTGAAAGCATTTTTATTCTTATGAAACATACAAGTAGGGAACAGGATGAAGTTGGTGCCATCTGTGAGCCAGCATTTTCATTTGATCAACTGACTCTCTCTCTTTCTCTCTCTCTCTCTCTCTCTCTCTCTCTCTCTCTCTCTCTCTCTCTCTCTCTCTCTCTCTCTCTCACACACATCCTTCGGCCCACCACTGCCTGACACCCAATAGCCAACAAAACACAATGACATACCAATCTTGTGTTAATGTCTGGGTGGCAAGCCATTAGCCTCGTGTTATGGCTAGTTTACGAGCGTCTCTTTTCATCGGGAGTCTTACAGATCGAGGAGTGTCCCTGATCAAAAACGATTGTCGCAGAGGAGAACAATCACTCTGAATGGCGGCGTCTTTAGGTGGAGATTGGCGCCAGGGATGGCAGCAATAATGGATCCTTATGGCAGGTGATGAATAACAGCTGACCTGGCAACATATGACAACATTGCCATCACTACTGCCACCAGTTAACATGCACAACAACACTACAGTCACCTACGACTCTACGAGGAAGATGAAATCGCCAAGGTGGGTAAAATCATGTTCCAAAGGAAAAGTCTCAATGAGCAACTAAAACTTCTTAAATAATCTATGGAAATGATAAATGGCCAAAGAAAAAGTCAAAGGCTAGACAACAGAAATCACAAAGTACAAAAACTTGAAACAAATGAATGTTCAAAATATAATATATATATATATATATATATATATATATAATATATATATATATATAATATTTATAAATATATATATATATTATATATATATCTTTCAACAAACCGGCCATATCCCACCAAGGCAGGGTGGCCCAAAAAGAAAAACAAAAGTTTCTCTTTTTAAATTTAGTAACATATACAGGAGAAGGGGTTACTAGCCCCTTGCTCCCGGCATTTTAGTCGCCTCTTACAACACGCATGGCTTACGGAGGAAGAATTCTGTTCCACTTCCCCATGGAGGTAAGAGGAAATAAACAAGAACAAGAACTAGAAAGAAAATAGAAGAAAACCCAGAGGGGTGTGTATATATATGCTTGTACATGTATGTGTAGTGTGGCCTAAGTGTAAGTAGAAGTAGCAAGACGTACCTGAAACCTTGCATGTTTATGAGACAGAAAAATGGACACCAGCAATCCTACCATCATGTAAAACAATTACAGGCTTCCGTTTTACACTCACTTGGCAGGACGGTAGTACCTCCCTGGGCGTGGAGGCAGCAGTGACTCGACAGTGCTGTTGCTGCTGCTGTTGCTGACCGTGATATATGAGGAGACGAAATAGAAAATATACTGTACACAGAAGGTTCATGCAATCCTTCAATGTCCCAGGTATGTATACAGTGTGTGTGTGTGTGTGTGTGTGTGTGTGTGTGTGTGTGTATGTGTGGTGCCCGTGCGCACGCAAGTGAACGCGCGTCTTTAACAGTAACTGGCATAAATCTCTTCGGATCAGCTCAGAAGAGTAAAGTTTAGCACATAAATTGGACATCAGTGAGGCGTGATTATCGCAGTTATTGTATTGAAGGCGCAGAAGGGAGCGAACTCTTTTACATGGAGATTGACGCTTCCACTCCTATACTCTTCTTTGTGTCTCCCGTGAGAGCTCTCTCTGCCCTGTTGCAATAAAACTGTCATATCTGAGGGTTAAAGTTCTCACTGTTGCTCCTACGTTAACTGCACTAATGAGGCAACTTGGCCAAGTTTGTAACGGCCGCTGGTGTTTTACGCTCTGATTACCAACCGACCTTATTTTCTTTCCCAAGTCCCAGGTCAAGTTCCGATAGGTGTTGATGTCACGGGAGAAAGTTTTAATAGTTGTACGTGAAGTTTCTCACGTACAGACACACACACACACACACACACACACACACACACACACACACACACACACACACACACACACACACACACAGGATCCATACATAGCTTTAAGCAGAGGTACGATAAAGCTCATGGTTCAGGGAGAGTGACCTAGTAGCGACCAGTGAAGAGGCGGGGCCAGGAGCTTGGACTCGACCCCTGCAACCTCAACTAGGTGAGTACAACTAGGTGAGTACACACACACACACACACACACACACACACAGGATTTTCTTAGGACCCATAACGGAGCTTTGTTAAGACCCATGACGGTTATTCCTAAGACCCGTGACAGGAGCTGTCTCATCATCCGAGAAAAGAGCGTAACAGCACCGCATCAAGTAGCGTAACGTAGGATCGTGCACATATAAATATTTGATTCTAAAATTGCTTTCCATCGAGGATTTTCTACATGCATGAGCTGCCTGAGGGCGAGCTGGTAGCTGCTCGTGAAACCGCATTCAGTGGCATCTCACTCGTACTGCTCTGAGCATCATGAATAACACAGTATCATGAATAAGACGGCCTCATGAATAAGGTGAAAGATTTTTGGTTTGTTTACCCATTTACTTACGTCGTCTATTGCTAAAAACGTAGACAGCCAAGTTAAATACTGCTACTGGTCCACTTTTAATGTTAGAAGCAGGATGACTTCTGCACATGTGACGAAAATTTGGGGTTTTCCTATTAATAGAAGCTGTGTATCATGCCAAGACAATATCGTTCTCATTACTAATTTTACATATTGTTTTATTCTTAAATATTCTGAACTACCTCACTATTGTAAATCCATTTAATCATTTATAACTTGTAATATAGGGAAAGAATTATTGTTAGGCTGCCCGAAATGCCTAGGCTTGCTAGTGGCCGTCTTTGTAATTATTATTTTATAATATGTAAACCACCTATTGTAATCTTTACAGAGAAATAAACATCTGAGTTTGAGTGTTTTGATTTGAAGTGGTTGAGTATACATGTCTGGTTGCGGTCTTAAAGGCAATGGGGGAACTCTGTTATCATATCAAGTCGTGGGTATCACAGCGCCTGGAAGAGTGGGAGAGGATAGCTCCTGTTCTCTTGATCAAGAGCCCTTCACCAGCATCAAGGCAGCCGCCTCCTCCAATCGTTGATGGGAGATCAGGCGATTTATATAAAAAAAAAGAGGAATTAAGCCCAGAGAAAAGAGGAGGAAAAATGATTTGACTTAGTTTGCTGTTTCCAAGAATGATATTTGGATAATAGCAACTCTTCATGTATACTCTAGTTCAGTCAGATATCATGTATTATTATGCTGTCGCGTCAAACATCTTGTGAGAGTACACAAACGTGGCTGATTATTTGTGTTAAACGTGATTACATATGAGTACCAAATTAAGCCACACATGACTATCATTAAATTTTTTTGCACTCCTGACCTCTTTTTCGGCTTTACGTAAACAGTTCGTCTTTTACGTTAAGCTCTGAAGTCAAGTCTTCGTTCTACGTTACTTATGGAGGCGGAAAATCTTATATTAAAAAAAAAATGTGCTTATTGAAATATACGTACATTGCGTAGAATTATTAATGACTGAAAATTCTTATTAACATTGCATAAAAAGCGCTAAACCCTTTAGGCTACACAGTACGTGATTGAAAAGAAATTTCGACTAAATTCTTCAACACAAACAAGTGCATGGACAGTATACTCGCTAAGTATATGGAGAGTGTACTCGCCAAGTGTATGGACTAAATGTATGGAGGGTGTACTCACCAATAGGACCGTTCTCCTGGACCTCACCAAACATGGTTGCGTTAGGGAAGACTGGAGGGTTGTCATTGATGTCCTTCACCAGCACCGTCACCACAGTCTCCGCTACGTGTACCCGCGACCCAGCCACACCTTGTAAACTGCTGCCGTCCAGACGACGACCTGTCGCCTCTGTCTTGTTGCTATTAGCCGCGTCGTCGCAGCCGCTGTCTGAGCTGAAGTTACCCAGTTCGTAGTTCTCTTCTGCTGACCTCGATGTTCTCCTGCCTCTGGAGGAATCCTTTCCTGCTGATTCCAGCGTTCTTCTTCCCAAGGAGGGAACTTCGGTTTGCTGAGGAACTAGCTCAGTAAACACAGACTTAGAACGCTTATGTAACATTATATCACTCTCACTCGGGATATTTTCTATGCTTCTGTAATTCCAATAAGGTTCGACTCTTCTATTTGATTCACTAATCTGGGGTAATTTTGGTATTTGTTGAGTTAATATCTCTTCTGGTCTTGCTGCTGTGAAGCCTAGCTTATCGCTTTCCTGCGACGTTGTGCGAATTGCATTTTTTGATCTTTGAACAGTGGAAGAGATAGGGAATGTGGAATGTTCCATACGACTGTAGTCTCTGTGACTTTGAAGAGTAATGTGTGTATGTTGATCAACCGATTCTTGGATGTTAGATAGTAATATGCGATCAGAAGGTTCTGCATGTGCTTGTGTTTTGCTAAATGCTTTTCTTAGTCTCCTTTTTATTCCTGGATTTGGTGAATTCTTTCCTTTCTTATAATCACTGAGCATAACTTCGTCTTTTTCCTGTCCAAATGCATGAACACCCTTTATCACTAAGTTATTATTTCTTTTGTTTCTAGACAATGAATGTTTGATAACCTGGTTGTGACGAGATACATGCATAGTTCTCTGTGTAACACTGACATCACTGTCTTCCTGGGTAGCAGCAACACTCCTTGTTACTAATGTTCTTGATGGGGATCTGTTCACGTCGCTCATGTGTGCAGGAACTTTATTTACAATTGTGAGTTCATTTGATAGACTGGCGTTACTCGTGACCTCTAAGGTTCCATAGGGGTGGATGTGAGGAGTGTTCGTCTGCGTACCTTGTCGATGCACATGGCCTGGTTTCATCATCTCTGCTGTCTGCGTGTCACCAGCAGCGTTTCTGCTGTTTTTACCTTCTGACACAATTCTTAACCCGATGTTTTGCCTCATATCTCCCTTGTGTTGTGCGTTATCACTATTTCTTTGTCTTCTCCTTCCTCTCTCCGTGTGGCTCTCAGTTTCTCGAAGCGTAGGTTCTTGTGAGATGTTTTCATTGCCTTTTCTTCTTGTATCGACGTCGTCTCTTCTAGTTTTATCGTGTTTGCTTTCTTCGTTAGTGTGGCTATCTTTTTGCTTGCTTGAGCTGGATGCGAGAAGACGATCTATGGCTTGTTTGCTCCAGAGTGCCTGGCCGTCCCTCACTTGTACTCTCACCTTCCATACATCCTTCCCTCTGGGAGGATCCCGGTCCAGCGCCTGTACGAAGACATGTTAGATGAGAGGTGTTAGTGTTGCGTGGACCAACAACTGTTATAGGACTATGTGGTGGAGTGTGTAGTGATGTGGTGAAGCCTTTCCACACCACCACAACATAATTATTTCACTACATCACCACACCATCACCACAGCACCACCACGCCATCACCACAGCACCACCACGCCATCACCACAGCACCACCACGCCATCAATCATACACACCAGCAGCCTCACACGTCAGGCAAATTGTACCATAACATCAAATGCAAGTACGAACCTAAAAATTTTAACGAAGCATTTTTACACAACGTTCTTGAAAATTCTGAAACTCAAAAGGACATGAAAACATGTTTAAATTATCCAACAATTTTGTTTTTAAGCTATTCGGGACAACTGATAATAAAAACAATTCATAATGAACTATAAACAGGAGTCAAATTGAAAATATAAACGATTTGCCAAATCCTTCCAATAGAATTTAGGAGAATAATTGAACAATTGATTATTCAATATTGTTCTTTTATGTGAAGGGACAAACTGGTCATACTGCGCAAGGGGTAGTGGAGGCTCGATCCTCCCTAAGGAAATTCGATTCTCTTTAAGGGAATTTGATTCCCCGTAATTGAATTCGATCCTCCGTAAGAGAATTCGATCCTCAGTAAAGGGAATTCAATCCTCCGTAAGGGAATTCGATCCCCTTTAAGGGAATTCGATCCTCTGCAAGGGAATTCGATCCTTCGTAAAGGAATTTGATCCTCCGTAAGAGAATTCGATTCTCCGTAGGGTAATCCATTCGTTGAGTGCAGACTTACCTCTCTAAATCGTCAAAAGTTTTTCACAGTTGGACTACTAGTTGTACTCGCTCCGTCAAGTTCAGAGGCGAGCTTATTATTCAGGTTTGGTGAGCATGTTGCACACGACAAACTTCAAGTTGGTGAGGATCTTCTGTGAGGGGGAGATACCTTCAGTTGGATGAG